CCTTACCGAAAAAGATTAAACTTACTCCCGAAGAAAAATATTGAGATGAAGTTGACCAATTGGCCCAAGCAAAGATTTACCAATTATTTACTACCAATATCCCGTTCCAAAACATACCCCTGATTAATGAGCCTTGACGTTATGAGGAAACTCAGCAAAAGAAAGTTGGTTTATTTCTCAGTCGCGATGTGGACTATCGCACCTTATGTGCTGACTTAGCAAACCAAACTAGTGAGGAAGAAAATCTCCCCACCGCCGAACTAATGGCCGAAGAAATTGCCCTTTGATATTGTCGAATGGTCATCAAAGCCTTAATTAGTGATTGCGGTGATTATGCGGGCTATGACCCTTCCCTTTTTGAAAACTTAACTCACGAATAATTATGCCAAAAATAGATAAAACCCAAAAGAAAAATAAAACTAAAAAAACCCTCTCCTTACCCACTCCCTCCAAACCTAAAAAAACTAAAAATCCTTCGGCTTACTATGAATGTATGGCCTCCCAAAGTCAAACCGGACTCAAACCCTCCTTAACTAAGTGCTGCCAGAACTGTAAAGTCAACAGTCAAGCCCTGCTAAGTAAAAAACAGCAAGCCCGCACCAAAGAGTTGAAAAAGATTACGGCAGCCTACCAGCAAATTGGGATTAGTTTAGGGAAACTATTAAGTCATTAAATGATTACCTGCTGTGAATTAGCCCTCTATATTGCCGTGGGGGCTTTTGTAGTCATCTTAGCCTTATTAGCCATGTTTTTTAACTATACTCTGCAATTAAAAGATCGACAACTAATTTTAGAGAAAAAGAATGGTCATGAACAAGCCCAAATTGATGAATTAAAAAAAGAACTTGCTAAACTAAAATCTAAAAATGGATAAATGTCTCTTCTGTCACAAGCGAAAACCACTCCCCGGTTCTAGTATTTGTTTGCTTTGCCAACTAACTGAATTACCTCGTAATTAATCATGACCAATACCCAACTCTTAATCTTCGCCATCGTTTTAGTTGCCATCTACTTTTACTGAAAGAAACAAGCCTCACCTAAACCAACTAAGGGGGAACCCGAAGTCTTGTGAGCTGCTTCAGATAGTAAAACAGAAAAGGAACCACTAACTAAAGAACTCCCGGCCGAACAAAAAGATTGATTTAGCGAAAAACACTGATTATCGGATCAAGAAATCGATTGAGCCTTAACTCAAATCCTTACTGAATTACCGGAAGAAAAGCAAACCAAATATAAAGTCTTAGAAGCCACCCAATTCATGTTTGCTAAAGAAGCCCTGGCAACTAAGGATGCGGATGCCCGAGATAGTTTTCCCGTTTTGTTAAGTGAACTAACTGGATATAATGGAGACTTAGTCTTCATCCCAGTCAACAACCCCAACTTCCACTGAAGTCTCTTAGTTTATAAAACCAAAACTAAAAAATTTTACCATTTTGACACCTTAAAAGGGGCTAACGATAGTTATGTTAAACCCTTAGTAAAAGAATTATTAACTCATTTACATCAGCGCAATAATTTAAAACTAAGTCGGTTTTATCGAACTCATTATCACTTCCCGCAAGGCAATACCTGAGATTGTGGCATGGCCGTCCTGGAGATTGCCAAGCAAATAGTAACTCAGAAAGACCATGATTTAGAGACCATTGATTTTACTAACTTAGATTTACCAACTGCCCGCCGCACCTGAAGGGAGCAATTAATTAACCCGCATGACTAAAGACCAACTCCAACAAGAATTAAAAGAAAAAGTTAAAGCCGGAATTAAGCCTTCGGATATCAAAAGATTAAAAAGGAGTAAGTCCGAGAGTGATTTAGTTCCTACTCCTCCCTCCAATTCAGAATTAATTGCCTTACAAAGAGAAAATAAGGAGTTAAAAAAGCAAATCAGGGTCTTCGAAAAGGAGTTGGCAGAAAAAGAAACTTTTGTCTTGGCTCCGGAAGAAAACCCCGCCGAGTTAAAGCAAAAGATTACTGAGTTAGAAGACCAAATTTTAGAATTAAGATTAAGTAAGATTAAAGAGTTTAGTGAATATCGTGCTAAACTAACTGACTTAGCATCAGATTTATCCCAGCAAACTCAAACTGATAGCCAAGCCATTCGTCAGTTAGAACAAAGAGTCCAATCCTTAACCTCCCAAAGAACTCGCTTACAGGGTGAAAAGTCTTTAGCCGAATGAAAGTTAAGTAAATTAGAACTAGGTGAATCAACTAATCCCCACCAATTTTGAACTGATTATGGTCTAATTATTAGTTTGGTGGTAGTAACTTGATTAGCAGTTTGATTATTAAGTAATAATAATCTTGTTTAATGGCAATAACTCACCAACTCTGAAATCTTTAACCCCCTCCCTTCAAAATTACTTAATCGAACTATCTAAATTCCAACAAATATCTAAATCAGACTTTCATCAATCTTTAATAATCGACCAAACTGATTTTAGCTGCTTTACAATCTCCCAAAAAGAAATCTTAAGCACTAATCGTTTTACTGTTTCTTTATCCGAAAACAGTGTTCAATCTTTTTATTTAGGAGATAAAAGACCTCAACCTAAACCAAAAAAAGAACCACCCCTAATCCAAGACAACTGTTTAGAAGATGCTCAGAACTGCCAATACTTCCAATTCTTTGATAGCAAAGAAAAGAAACTCCTTACCAATTGTAAGGATGGAATTGAAACTAACTTCTGAGGTCTTAATCAAACCAACTTATTCCTTACTGGAACTTATAACACCTCCCAGGAAAACCATTATGCCTGAACGAGAAACTGAAACCCCCAAGACCCCTGCTGAGATGCTTATGAAAAACCTTGGCTGAAAGAATGAACTCAATCCCAAGACCCCCATGCTGAACCAATGAAAGTTCATCTCCCCCCCGTCAAGGAAGACCCTACTCAATTTTCAACTATTACAAAGTGCAAAATTATTTTCCACTTTTTTATTATCAAGAAAGGAAAGATATTAATAAAATTAATATTTT